CACCTTCAGAAGGAGATCCTCCATAGATGCCACACTGCACACCGTGATCTTCTGAATAGATGATCAGACCATGAGGATATAGACCTGCAAAGTCAGTGAAACGTCAGACACCACAAGCATCAAATTGCATCCAACCTCAATGTTGCAACTTGTGTTTCTCCAGATCAGCTGGTTGCTTGGGGGCAGGGGTTGGATCTTCTTGTTTCTCAGCCCGCATATCAGAAGGGGCTGGGGTTGTTTGTACCCTGGTGGCAACCAATCCCCCACAGTCCACAAATGGCACTCGCTTACAGGAAAAGGCTAGGATCTGGCTGTCACCCTGGCAGTGGTGCCCCACAACACAGCTTTCTTAATAACCATATCAAGAGAAGAGGGAAAGAGAATTTAAGAACCACAAAAGCACCAAAGTTAGGGAAGAAATGAACTACAGCAAAGACAAGAGATCCCAGCTAGAGAGGGATTTGCTGGCTAAATATGCAACCATCACTTCCTGCCCAAGGTCTGATGACAGGATTAAACAAAATAATGGATTATAGCTCCAGGAACACAGTGAGCAACTACACTAAGTCCTTTCCTCCTCCCTGTCACGAAATCAAAAAGCAAGTCATAACTAAATAGGATATAAGTTAAGACAAAAGGTTCAATTGTCCCTGCATCTAATGGTTTTTACATGCTTTATTTCTATGAAGCAGTTTATAGCACCTGAAAAGAAGTACATGTGTCCCTCGTATCCACACGGCATTAGTTCCAGGACCCTATCAACCCCTGCAGATACCAACCTCCATGGATTTTATGTAAGTGCCTTATAGAGAGTTCAGAATTTGCATAGATCAAAAAAAAAAAATAAGAACTGTGGGAGTAATAAAACCCAAAATGTGTAATTATCATTGTAAAAAAGAGGAAAAGAAAGTGCTCTAAAGGATACTGCATGTATATTTAAGTGTATAAGATAGATAACCATATTACTGAATTTTTGTTGGATCATTGAACAGAACTGTTTGCAGTCTCACTGTTTGAATGTCCACTTTGTATGCTTTAATTTTGTAACTTGAACAACTATTTCTAAGATGACAATATGTAATTTATTAAGTAGTGATTTCCTACTGTTTATTTTTTTGAAATTCTGTATTACTTGTACCCTTTTTCTGTTTTTTTTTTCTTTTTCTCCTTAAATAAAATATAAAAAAAAGAATTTGCATAGATCCTCTACACATCTTCCTTTACAATTGAAAATAATGTCTAGATGACTTATAATATTTAATGTGTTAGGACCAGGATTATGATTCAGCAGCATAGTGCCTGCCTGGCAAGCTCAAGGTTCTAAGTTCAATTTCTGATCAAAAAAATAAAATAACATGTGCTAATTTATATTAGTATAATTTAATAGCTATCGTATTATTTAGGGCATATTTGCAAGAAAAATACTTCAAACATATTCAGTTCTGTGTTACTTACTTTTCTCTGATTGCTGAGAGAAAATACCTGACACCCCAAATTGAGGAAGGAAAGATTTATTTAGCTCACAGTTTGTGGAGGTATCAGTCCACAATCTGCTTGCTCCAAGGCAAGGTGGCATGTCACAGAGACAACCATTCGTGATGATGGAAAACAGCAAAAGCAGCAAGAGCAAAAGGAGGAGGAGCACAAGAGAAGCCTCTTTCTACCCCTCATGTTTAAGTAGGCTACCTCCCCTACTCACACCCATAATCTTAGCATTGGACCACAAATCAAACACGAATGCTAGAAGCCAGTCCCCATGACTGCATGAGGCTTTGAGGGGACACCCAGACACAAACTATAACAAACACAGATGCATTTTTTCAAGTGTTTTCAATCTGTGATTGGTTGAATCTGATGTGCTGAATCAATGGATAATGTTGATCAAATTTTCCCCAGAAAATTCACAGAGAAATATTGTATTTTTCTCTACAAGGAAGAGATTTCTGTTACATCTAACTGTATACAATTTTCAAGTTGCTTCCATAGATGTTTCTTATCTTTCTGGTACATGTTAAGACCACACCTACATTCACAGCCAGACTCCATCCTTAACCATGAACTCAATTACATAGGTCACCTTGACCCTGATTTCTGTGTATCACAGAATTAAAAAAAGATTTCACTGAAAGAAAAGAAGAGAGGGAGGGGAGATCTCTCAAACTTTCTTTCATGTCTATTTCATTTTTTAATAAGGATTGTAGAATCACAGATTGATGGGGTGTTTAAGGTGGGAAAACCTCAAGGATGATCCATTCCACCTTGTCAGTTGGCACTGGTAGTGACAAGACACTTAAGCATCTATCTATATGCAGTGGAAAAATTAGACTGAAAATAGAAATCTGAGTTCAAGTGCTGGCTTGGACAGTTTTTACCTTAGATTGATCCCTTAACCTCTTCCAAGATGAATTCTTCTCCTTTTGGGATCTGACAAGGATCTTTGTGAACTCTAAAGCAATTGTCATATGAAATCTATGACATTTCCTTGGGTCCAACAGCCCCTCAACTTATGAGCACCTTCACTTACCCACACACTCATGACTTTTATCTGCCTCGCTTAACTTTGCAGGTCATGAAAGAAAAATACTGATGCCTAGCAAAACCTGTGACACCCAGTAAGTGTACAGTACCACTTTTTCTGAATTATTTAGGTGACAATAAGAAAAGTTTTCTGAGTCCTCCTCAGAAGGTTGAGAGGTATGCCATAAAGCCACTCAAAATCTCTACCACAGGACAGCCTCCCCCTAGTACATATACACGTACATAAACCACAAGACCCAGAAAAGCACCACGCAGGACATCCTTCTCTCATTTCCCCAGAAGGTGTGATCTGTTCAGTCTTAATTCACAATCCCAGAAAACTAACCCACCCCTACCAAAAGTAAGGCCATCTCCCTGACTAGTGTCAGCTACCTAGTTTTTCTTCCCCCTTTAAAACCACTTTCCAAGGAATTCATGTGAAGTAGTAATTGGGGTGGTACACTAACTGAGATGGCTGTTTCTCAACCAAATTCTCAAGAAATTCAATAACCACATCTGGGAAATTCTCTACGATGCGCAAGGAATGAAGATGTGGACAGGCTTGGGTGTTACCACAGCTGGTAGAACCACAGGTGTTTTCCTGGATTACCAAAGAGGTTCTATGTACAGTTTCCAGAAGCCACGTATCTTCAGGGTTTCAGTAGTTGGCCTTCACCTAAAATTTTCCTCCCTGTTGAGGTTGGAGAACCACTATTTTCTAGAGAACTCTATTTTCTGCATGGAACAAAGGCATTCCAGCAGTGACTAGACAGGTTCCCAAGTGACTGAAACAATCATTAACATTGTTATTATTTTTGTTTGGTTGCATCTCCATAGCAGCCCACATTAACAACATGCCCACAATTGTGTCTCACTAATGGCTCTCACAAGATACCCAGAGGCAGAGGGGGTGACCAGGGTTAATATTTCTGTATTGCCCAAAGGGCAACCAGGTGAGCATAAACATGGAGGGTTCCTTAGCTATAATCTGTAGTCATGCAGGATCTGTCCTAAGACACCAAATTTCTGCCCCAATCTGGTCCTGCACAACATGGCCTGAGTCTCGGGAGCCATTTATCTCTGGAACTCTTGTTCCTAACACCCGAAGGAACTAGCCTGGGCAACAGAATCAGAATCAGAGATCCCGCAAGTGGACTGGACCTCACAGATCATCTAATCCTTTTTTTTTTCTTTTTGTCTTTTTTTTGAGACAGGATCTCCCTATGAAGTTCAGGCTGGCCTTGAGCTCACTTTGTAGCCCAGACTGTTCTCAAATTTGCAACAATCCTGTCTCAGCCTCCCGAGTGCTGGAATTACATATGTGCCCCCACACCTGGTTTAAACCAATCCTACTATTTACAGCTAAAGGGAACCAAATAGAATACTCAGTCCAACTCACATGAACCACTTTACTCCCACTTCTGTACATTTGGCTTTTTTTATATCACATTCCAGAGCTTCATTTCTTTTGTCTTTGCCTATGTTTCGTTTCCACTTCCATCCTTTTCTACTATCTAAAATTTATGTGGCTGAAACTCCAGCTAGGGAACATGAAACAGATTTGCTAAGAGTCTGGTGTTCTGCCACCTGATCTGGGCTGGCCTCAGATAACTGAAAAGGCACCACTGCAGCCTGGAACATGGAACGTTCATGGTTTCCCAACCTCCATTTCCTAATTCAGTCGCCGGCTCTGGCAGGCGCTTCACCCATGCCGGGGTGGACATCCATCCTCACCCATCGTGGCTTTTCCCAGGGAACACCAGAGCTGTCCTTAGCTTCTAGTAAAGGACTACTTTCTGTACCGTACTGTGGTTAGGGCAGGCAGTTCTCTCCTGCCATAGGAAATATGCAGACACTATTCAGAGGAATAAGAAGATCAAGACTTTTGTGATCAAATAACAGTTTTCTCTCCTCGACCCTAATGTAACCAGGTTGTCACTCCAGACTCAGAGAAATCCATGCTATATTCAAGCGAGTAGCCCGCTTTAGAAAACAAATGGTTCATTTTCCTCAAATGCCTTCCCATAGCTCCCAGGAGTTACCAATTATTCTGCCACACACATTCCTGGGACACGATAAACAAATTTGGCCAAAACCCAAAGTACGGCTGCTAAGCTTCTCTCCAACTCTTGTCCTCTATAATCCTGACTCAAGGGTTTCTTCTTTCCTACTACATCATTTATTTTTAGAAATTTTGATAAACTTCCTGCTGCTCTTCTCTCTTTTTTATAAGCAACATGTTAATAGTTATATGGAGCAAGCAATAAATAAATGAGCTAAGTCAGTATCTCTTGAAATCTTTGCAAACAGCATTATTACCAAGTATACAAGTATACAGTCTGTCATCATTGTGGCCAGTATCAAGTTAAATAAACATATAAAACAAAAAAGATTTCGTGTAAATCCCCAGTGACACAATTATGGCCACACCTACTGAGGGAGGCATTATAAAAGGCAACGAAGTCTGACTCAGGTCTCAGTTACAAACCCGTGAGGGAGTCATTTCATTGGAACTTGAATCGGCAAAGGTATTGTCCTTACCATGTCTGTGGCTTTTAAAGTACCTTTTTTTTTTTCCTCCCTGGCTGTCTTCAAACTTCCTTCTGTAAAACTTTGGTCTCTTCCTTTTTTTCCTTTCCTATCCTTTCTTGATTTGGTATATGAGCTAGAATTACACACCAGTCAGATTTCAAAAACTGACTCTTTTATTTTACTGATGGGGAACCGATGGCCAGCCAATGAATGAATTCATCCAAGGGCCTCTGCAGGTACAGCCAAATCTCCCTCTGGGAGAAGCCCTGTACCACCAAAACCTATTAGGACAGAAATGAATGTTTCTAACTCTGTTTCTCTCTTGCCTCTGTGTAAGGTGAATATCTCTTTCTTGTGGCTTTATTTCTCTTTTAAACTAGCCAAGCATTGATTGCATGCCTACTCTGTGCAATGCATTGAGTTGGGCATGGAAGGAGTACCAATATAAATAAAGCATTCTAAAAGAAGTTTACAGTCTAGGAGAAGAGGCAGATGCATATAAAGTAATGCAAGAGAGTGAGAAGAAGCATGGGGAAAATGCTGGGTGTGGGCTGTCATTCAATGCAGTCTCTCAAGAAAGGTGAGGTCACTCCTGCTGGCATCTGGCACAGAGACTGGCTGAGCTGATAGTCACTGGTCTCTTCCTGTTGCAGAAGTCAAGATGGCCCAATGTCCGAACATGCTCGAAGACCTGAAGAGCTGTTACAGGTAAGAAGTAGATTCTATCTCTTGTGATTTAATAAAGGGTTATTAGAATCTAGCTCGGAGTTACAGTAGCCAGCATGGACTGGGCTAGCAGAGGCCATGGCAGCTTCATAAAAGACCGAGGAGACCTGAGCATACAGTATGTTAAACTAAGGTGTGCATTGTAGAAAAGTTATCTTTGAGGTCTGCTGGGCCCTATGTGAATTTCAACATCAACTTAGATGCATCCTCAATTGAGTCCACAAATCCTGATACAGTAGTGGATTTTAATGGGTTGTGTGCAAGAGAATCTACTCTCAGAACAGCTGAATCTCTGGTGGGAGGAGGAAATAACTCTCCACAATTTGAGCACATCAGCATACACACTTGATCAAACCTCATTCAGATGCATAAGAGACATAAGCTGAAAGTTAAAGTTATAGGACATTTTGAACTAACGTGATCTTCCCAGCACCTACAATAATTATGAGCACAAACTAAGCTACCAAGATGTTGTCCAAGTATTTTTCCAAGTGTTAATTATTAAATCTATTCTAGTGAATGAATGGAAGTAATGTATCTGTTACAGAGGACCCATGTGGTGTTCCAAAAGTATGTCTGTTCTTGAAGAACGTTTTCCAGTGAAGTTCAATTAAAACTCTTCAAGTTGTTAGTCAAATCTAGTTTTATACATAAAGTACAAGCCTGTCCTCATGATCATTAATTCCAAATCAAGGAAGTATGAAAGACCATATTCATGTGAACATATACTGTCCTTTATTTTCAATGATAACAGAAATGATTTGAGTTTTACCCAAACCATGTGCTTGTTAAAATTCAGCACCCAGTGAAACAATAAAATTAAAACATCATCGCCTTTTATTTTGACAGTGAAAATGAAGAATATGCTTCTGCCATTGACCATCTCTCTCTGAATCAGGTAGGCCGTTGACTGCCCTTCCTAAGGACTGCTGCTCTCACGCTGCTTTCCTCTTTTGTAACACCCAAGACCAAAGCAGGATGTTAAGTCTTACGTACTCTTGCCTTCACTAGAGGTCCAGAGACCTATGTTTCTTCATTACAAGTGAGACACCTTGCTTGTCCACATGTGGGGAGTTTATGGCACTATTCATGTTCTTCACCTTTTAGCAATCACAGCATTCCTTTCCCAAGGCCCTGAGAACAACAGTCTCTTGGGTCAGCTTCTTCTGATGTCAGCCCTGCTATCCTGATGCCACTTCATCAGGGTTCTGTCTCCTAAAGCGAGACACATCATGTTTGTCCTCTGATTCCATCTCCAGAGGTTGGAGATAGCCCTCTCAACATAACAGCTCATGAAGCTGAAGCAGAGGAAACAGGCCAGTTGAAAATGAGAAATTTGTTGATACTCACCCAGCTGTGTGTTACTTTGTGTGTCTGTGGTCCTGGTTTTAAAAACTGCTTCCAGCAGGACATGGTGGCACGTCTATCATTCTAGCACTCTGGAGGCTGAAGCAGAAGGATCACTGTAAATTTGAGGCCAGCCTGGGCTACAAAGAGAGTTCCAGGCTAACTTGGGCTATCTACAGCAAGACCCTGTCTCAAAAAGACCAAAACAAAACCTGTTCCCAGAGTAGTACAACAATCCCTAGGCATCATGGGTGATGGATTTCAGGATCCCCGTGATTCCCATGGCAGACACATCTGCAGATACAAAGACCCCTTACATATAAATGGCAGAGGACCCATGCCATTTACAAATACCCTACACACATCCTCCTGTGTTCTTGTCTCTAAATTACTTATAATACCAACTTGGTATAGATGCCATGTAAGTAATTGTTGTACTGTTGTTTTGGAAATAATGACCAAAAAAGCTCTGTTAGTATAACACAGATGCATTTTATTTTCTCCAAATATTTTTATCTGAGGTTGGTTGAATACCAAGATGCAGAACCCATGGACATGAACATATTTCTGAAATATTTTAGAATGCTGAGAAACAGACATTTAACCTCCAGAGAGGAAAGCCAATGGAGGGCTATGACTCACTGATTTGTCAATTTATTTCATTATAAGATCTCATTTTGGGGGGCTGGGGATTTAGCTCAGCGGCATAAGCGCCTGCCTTGCAAGCAGGCAGTCGTGAGTTTCATCCCTGGTACCGATAAAAAGGAAAAAGACAAAAAAAAAAAAAAAAAAAAAAAAAAAAAATCTCATTTTTGAGCCTGCAGATGGTTGAAAAAAGTTTTCCTAAGAAATCACATGCTTTCAGGGAAGGACAAGGAGGGAGGGAGGGGAGGGAAAAAAGGAAGGTGCGAGGGAGGGAAGGAGGAAAAAGTGAGTGGGAACACTGATGAAGCTGGGTTACCCGAGCCCAGAATGAAGTTTTGCCATTACATCTATTGTAGAAAGCTCCTGCTGGACAAATCTCATCCTATGGCCACGGACAGCCACTCAGTCGCCCTTTTTCTTCCCCACAGAAATCCTTCTATGACACAAACTATGATCCGCTCCACGAGAACCGTGTGGATAAGCCAGTGTCTCCGAATCCCTACGAAAACTCAGAGGAATCCAATTTTACCCTCGAGGACAGCTCGGACAGCTCAGCGGTGGTGTTAACATCAGCCCATGGGGAGGTTCTGAAGAAGAGAAGGCTGAGTTTAAATCAGACCATGTCTAATGAAGATCTGGAAGCCATCGCCAATGATTCGGAAGAAGGTAAGAGGTCAAGGCAGTAGTGTCCTTGTTTTTCAGGTTTAAGGAAATGAAGTCAAGAGAGCGTAGGAGAAATAAACCTAGGCTCAGAAAAAAAGATAAGACAATCATGCATTATCTGGTGACTATTATAAAAGAAAACTAATGTTTGTCCTTCTCCAGTGGGAGGGGTAGCAATAGCCTGAGTCTTGTATTTCATTTGTGAGCTTCTGTCTTGGCCACGTTGTAAAGATCATCGGGCTTTTTAGTCTTTTCAGCAAAAGGACAGGTATACTGTTAGTTGGTGACCTCTCCTTACTTGCTATGCCTCTTTTAGCATGTCACTTCATCTTTCCATGCTTCAGTTCCTTGTCCTGTAAATTGGACATGAACAGAGTCCCTGACTCATTAGATTGTTGCGAAGATTAAATGAGTCAGTACTTCCAAAGTTTTGAACTAGAATAATGTGTGTGCAGAGTAACTACTCTAGAAATGCCAGCTAGGGGCTGGGGATTTAGCTCAGCGGCATAAGCACCTGCCTTGCAAGCAGGCGGTCGTGGGTTCGATCCCCGGTACCGATAAAAATGAAAAAGACCAAAAAAAAAAAAAAAAAAAAACAAAAAACAAAGAAATGCCAGCTATTTTTGCATTATTAGTACTACCACTTTATGGTTACAGCCAGTACTACTAATCTACGGATGGCTGCACTGTCTATGCCTCACCACAACGTCTCACTCTCATGTTGCATCTGAGGAAGCAGCCTGTCCAAAGCCACATAGTCTGTATGTGGGGGACCCACAAAGTGGTTCAGTTCTGACTACTAAAATCATGGTCTTTCTTTCATGCCTTTGCTATGCGTGTTTCCACATAACACCTAAACCCAATTTTCCTGTTTCTAATATAACACCTAAGCAATCATACATGTTCACCCAGAACGTTTAAAAATCCAAGAAAATATTTTTTAAAAGAGCATAAAACCTCTCATTTCTGCCACTTCATGGTTTATCCCCACCAATACTATAGGATGTTTCTTTAAAGTCTTTTCTTTATACAGACACACACATGAACCTACATGTTTTACATTATTTAGGAATACACAAGTTTATATCCAGTCTTTTTCACTTAGCAGTATCCCAGAGGCATGTTAGAGAATCAGTGTTTCACCATTATGTTCAAAATGGTAATGAGCATCTGTATCAATAAATCGTTATTCACTTAGAATAGATTCCTAAAAGTGAAATTACTCAGAGCCATGAGGCTATTGAGACAATTTCCCAGAAAGATGGATGGTATATGGTCACCCTCAGTAAAAAATAATAACTTCTTTAAATGGTAAATGTTTAATGTGCTCATTTTTATCTCACAGTACATTCATCTGAAAATATAGATGGGAACATTGTGGTGACTTAGTAACTTCCAAACAACCCAAAATGAAAACGCTGCACAAATAATCTCTCTTAATAATAATAATAAATAAAAAACTGTTGCCTGAGGAATCCATTTGAAAAGAAGCAAATAAGTATATCCAAGGCTAATCTCAGAATCAAATGTAGTGTTGACTGATTTCACTTCTGTCCTCTCATTTGGATTGGCCTGTTCCTAAAGTCCCTTCCAGAGCTACTCCCTGGGCTTGAATTAGCATGTGTATACTATTTGTGTTTGTACCCACGTGTTAACCTGAATCTGTGATGTTGGTTTTAGAAATCATCGAGCCATGGTCAGTACCCTACAGCTTCCAGAGCAATCTGAAATTCAAATACCAGAGATCTATCAAAAAGGGAGCTGTCATAACTGATGCCATGCACCAAAGCTTAATTCGAGAATCAAATGGTCAACACCTCAAAGCCATGCATGTGGTCGATCGGAAACATGAAGGTAAATAGCCAGCTTGTCCCCCTCTGCTCCTTTTATTTCTTTGAACCATTTCAAAGTATGAACCTGTCTAGAACCCTGGCTTTGCACAATTCTAGAATAAGATGAAGCACAACCCTCCTTCCTAACCCTTGGTTAAAACCCCAAAGACAGAAATTTCTGCCAAATCTGCAAATTCCACAAGACACAAGTTTTCCTGAGAGCACGGAGAGGCCCTCAGAGCTTTCTGACATCCTCTCTCTCTGTGGCTCCTAAAGGTACTCTTACCTTCTGACTTTAAAGATGAAAGCTTGAGTCTCAGAAATATTAAACGACTTATTCAAATTTAACCAGAAGCCCATGAGGAGCAATCACTATCCATTAAAGATCCTAAAGATTAAATTCAAAGTAACATCAAACTGGCAAGATTTTGGTTATCTTTGATAACAATTGCACGGCAAAGTAACCAATAAGCTGTAATGTACTCTGAAGAATGAAATTTACTATCCAAAATGTTTTATCACAGAGGTCAATTTCCACAATTGTTAGCCTGCCCTCAGTATTAAAGTTATGTTCAAACATCCGAAGAGGCAAACTTTACAGTGAACAAGCTGGACTTTTTCTGATTGGATAACTTCCATACTTTTTATAATTGTGACTTTTACAAATTATTTTGTATTGTATTTCCTACTTATTGTTTTAAATAATTTTCTCACATATTGGCATAGTATATGTATTTGCCATTTTCAATAGCATTAGAGATTTAATCATGTTGCTGTGCTTAGCCTCCCATGTATTTTCTTTTTTTAAGCAGTGCTGGAAATTGAAGACAATGTTTTCACAATGAGCTACATCCCCAGTCCTTTTCATATTTTTATTTTTTATTTTGACCCAGGTCCTTTCGAAGTTGCCCAGGATGGACTTGGACTTGTGATCCTCCTGCCTCTGTCTCCCACAATGCTGGGAATGCAGGCATACACCACCTCTCATATAGACATAGACATAGACATAGACATAGGTATAGAAATAGAGGTAGAGATATGAAATTGAACTACTTTTTCATATGCATGTATTAGTTTTCTAAATTCTTCCACTTTTCAGGTCATTATGTACTCATGAACTAACAAATTATAGGGTTTCATCCCCCAAATGTAACTATGAGAGACTCAACAAATATTTCATAATCCCTAGGGTAAATGCTAAAACATTAACTATTTACCACTCAGGTAAATATGTGGATATTGTAAAGGATACAGAGATGAACAGAGTTCTATTCCTGACTTCCAAGCATTTATAGAAACCTAATTACATGCAAATGCATACACACATACAATCTGCACTAAATGTTTGATTTTATAAAAATGCAACAAATTAAATTTCTTTTTGGCTCTTCTCTTTGCCAGTGAAATTTGACATAGATGGTTACGTATCTACAGCAACCCGAATAAGACCTGTGACTCTAAAAATCTCAAAAACCCAACTGTATGTATGTGCCCAGGAGGAAGGCCAGCCCGTGTTGCTGAAGGTCAGTTGTCCCCCACTTCCCAGCTTACCCTCGTTTACTTCCCATTTATGTTCCTAGCAGGGCAGCGGGGTCCTCTTCCCTTTCGACCATTATTTGTTCTCCTGCACACCCCACCCCCATCCAATTTCTTCCATGTCCTCAGAGGCAGAATCTATGAGAGGGGCAGTGGAGGTGATAGAGAAAACAAAAACAAATTACCTACTTTCTTTTCTCCTTCTTTTTCACCTTCCTTTTCTTCTTCCTCCTCCTCCTCTTCTACTTTTCTTCTTCTTCTTCTTTTTCTGCTTCTGCTTCTGCTTCTTTTTCTGCTTCTGCTTATTCTTTTTCTGCTTATTCTTTTTCTGCTTCTTCTTTTTCTGATTCTTCTTTTTCTTCTTCTTCTTCTTCTTCTTCTTCTTCTTCTTCTTCTTCTTCTTCTTCTTCTTCTTCTTCTTCTTCTTCCTCTTCTTTTCTGCCCCTGCTCACCTCTCATCCCAGGGTATCTGTGTATTCCACCAATCTTTACTGACAACATTCCCTGACTACATAACGTCTGGCCTTAGGACAGTGGGACCTGCCTCCAAGAAACTTAGTAAGCCAGGCAAGAGAAATGACCACATGTCAATGGCCACAAATCAAAAATCAGGAAACCAAGATTCAAATGCTGACCTTCTGTCTCCTGTGCTGTTCCCTGTTGATGAGTGCTACCATTACCCCTCATCACAGCCCTACCTATCTCCTCTCCCACTTTCCTCCTCAGATACACACACATACACAGTATAGCCTTAGATGTTTTCTTCACAGATAAATAGTTAATTCTCAGTCAGTAAGTGTATACTCCAATATCTCCTACCCCAGTTAGAATTGGTGGATCAAGTAAAATGAAAATGGTGGTGATAGATAAACAGTAGCCTTATTCATGAGTTCATTCAACAAATATTTACTGAGAGGTTTCTGATGTCCAAGCACAGTGCTGGTGGCTATAAGGACAGTGGTATAACGAAGTCCCTATCTCTATAAAACTTGGCTCGCTGAGATCAAGTCAAACAACCAGTAAAAAGCGCAAGATGCTGTAAAGAAACTGAACAGGGCTCTTAGGAGATCAAACGGCAGCATGCTATTTAGATGGAGTGGCAAAACCAAAGATAAGAATTGCTCATAGAAAAGAGTGTACTAAAAGAGGATTAGTAGAGTGGGGCATTCTAAACAGAAGGGACTACATTCACCTCAGCTTTATAAGCTTAAAGTCCAGCTCCAAAATTGTTGAGTTTTGTGAGGAACAAAGTGCTTACAGGGTTTGCACTGGTGTGTGTGTGTGTGTATGTGTGTGTGTGTGTGTGTGTGTGTGTGTGTACAAAACCTTTGATTTTTTTACTCTAGTATGGAGATGAATGTGATTTACACGCTAAGTTGTTTTCCCAAAGGTATGACTTTCACAGTTAGAGGTTAAAATGCTTGGAGGTCTTAGAATCATTGGAGCTCAGATTTGAAGCAAGATGCCTTATGCCTGTGTTGAAGGCAGGACACAGTGCTTCATTCCCACCTGCCCAGAGAGTAAAACCCTGGTTCCATCAGCAATCTTTATGACTAATTTAGATTTGACACCAACTAATAAAAGAAATCAACTCTTGGGAAAAACCTAGGCCATACCTCTAATTAGCATATATTAAATGCATGCTGAATGAATACATGAATGAAGGACATGTATCATCCTGTTAGAGTCATAGTCCTAACGTGCTGTTTCTCACAAAAGCCAAATGCCAAAGGATTCAGTGCTTTGTCTAGCATTGCCTTCGGTTCTTGTTCTATAACCTAATTCTGTTCTCTTTATCATAGGAGATGCCTGAGACACCAAGAGTCATCACAGGTAATGACGTCAACCTGGTCTTCTTCTGGGAAATTCAAAGAAATCATAACTTCTTCAGGTCGGCTGCCAATACAGATTTATTCATTGCCACAAAGATGACAGGTCCGGTGCACATGGCCAAGACACTGCCCTCCATGTTGGACTTTCAGATATCCTAAGATCAGCCTCAACTCTGGAGTCTGTTAGTCTGTATGTACCATGTACATGAAGAAGTCAAGCTCTTTACTCTTACTCATTTGCTGAGCATGTGCTGAGCCTTGGTAATCCTAAATGAATGTTTACCCTCTTTGTAAGAGAAGGGAATTTCTAAGAGAACCAACATTAACATATAATGCTATCTGTTACTTAAAGAACACCCTATACTTTGCACAGTACCAATCATTTTAATTATCATTCTTCATAACATTCACAGGAAGACCAGAGTTACTGACAGCAGCTACCAAAAAGACTCTACTCATATGACAAGCAGGTTAACCGAGGCATAGGAAAACTAAAAAATAATAATATTCCATATAGCAGCTAGAGTGAGAAACCACAGGCCTAGGATTTCATTCCAACTCTGTGCCTTCTGCTTCTAAATTGATCACAGACACTTAATCAAATAGGAATAGTTGCTAGGATCTTTGTTTTACCATTTTCAAAAGGGAGAGAATGATACCTGTATCTTTCCTGCCTCAGTGTTTTTTTAATGTCAAACAGTAAGGTCATTTTAGTCAGATAACTCTTGAAGCTGAGCCTCAAGAAGACAGACCACAGAATGTTATTTTTAAGTTATTTATATAAGTATTTATATATATATTTAAGATAATTATATTACTATATTTATGGCAGCTCCTTGCATCCCCTGGGAGTGACCACACATGCTCAACAAATGTAGAGTTTCTAGGCTGAGTGAGTTAGAGGGAGTACTCCAGAGAATGTAGGTCCAAGTAATGCTTTCTCCGTAGCCATGAAGCTCTATGTTCTGGGACTTAGGAGCCTTACAATTATGACAATAGATTTATGTTAATTATTTTTCTTGAGATGATACTTGAACCAATATTTCATTCTTGCCTTGGCATTCTTCTGTTATTTAACTTGATGCATATACTGAACTAATTAAAATGAGAGGAATTTAACTTTGGCAACCATGGAACCATTGTTATCTAAACTTTCTTTTCTGAAATGTAATCATCTCAATCATATTTGAATAAAACGACAAATTTGATTGGACACATAGCTCTTTGTTGTCTTTTGTGTGTTGGCTTTGGAAAGGCATTTTGGTTGTATTTTGTTTTATTTTGCATGTAGGAGCAAGTTTTCTTATTTGTTGTCTTCATCACCATTTTAGTGCATGGTGACTACAAACAAATAGTAAAAGTTCACCTAAATAACTACAAAGTATTACTTTACAAAAGCAAGCCAAAACTTTTTAATTCTTTTCTCACTTTTAGTAGTTGCCAGTGTACGTAAATGGAATCAAGAATATTTCCAAAAAAAAGATACTTCCAGGTTCAGTTAAAACTCACAGAACAACAGACTGTTCCTGACCCTCCAGGCTTCCGGGTGCAGTGAAGTGGAGAAGTGGGTTTGAGGCCTCTACACCCGCCTCCCCATCCCGGCTGCACTTGGAGAACTGCTGAGCTTCCAACGGGTGGGCGGGCCCACACTATCCCCAGAGCCCAGCCTGTTTGGGCCTCTGGCTCCTAGCCATCCGTGTGCAGAGGAGGGGCTGGGCGGATCTGGGACGCCTGCATCGGCCTCCATGTGTGTCTGGAGGACTGTGGATGTCTCTGTGGGCAGTGGAGGATCGTGGGTTCCAGAGGCCCTGCAGCCTGTGGTGAGTGCTCAGCGCACTCTGCCGAGAGCCCAGACTGTTTGGGTCCCTCCAGGCTTCCAGGTGCAGTGAAGTGGAGAGGTGGGCTTGAGGCATCTACATCTGGCTCCCCATCCCAGCTGCAATTGGAGAGCTGTGGAGCTTCCAATGGGCAGGTGGGTGCACAGTGTCCCTGAGGCCCAGCTTGTCTGGAACTGCAGAGTTCTGAGCAGGCAGAGGAGGGCCATTGGTTCTGCAGGCCCAGTGGCTTGGGGTAGCGTGGTGCCAGAGTCTCAGTAGCTGCAAACATAGAAAGGGATTTCCAACAGATCCTGAGGAAGCTTTCAAATAACACTTGAAACACAGAAATATAGGAAAATGACAAAACGAAAGACCAAATTACAACCTCAAACCTCCAGCCCACCTCAAGAAACCCTAGGAGCAATGTATATAGAAGAAAATATATGCCATTCACCTCAAATATCGGACACAATAGCTACTGAAATTAACAAGCAACTCCAGGAAGCTTTAAAGAAATTCAAACTCGAAATAATTTCCCAGGTAAAAGAAGAAATGATAAAAGAAATGAAAGAGATTCTGAATATATCTAAAGAAAACACAGATAAAAATTGGAGGAAATAAACAAAAAGATAGAATCCCTAGACGAGCAATATAAGAAACAAACAGAATACATAATGCAGATGCACAGAGATATACAGGAAATAAAAAAACTCCACTGAAAGTTGTAAAAACCGCCTTATGAAAGTGAAGATAGAATTTCAGATCTTGAAGACAGGATTGCAGCTAGTGAACAGGAAAGGACAGATCTTTTAAAAATAACAAGGAATCAGGAAACAACAATTCAACAACTGCAAGACGATGCAAAGAAGAATAACATAAGAATGATAGGGATTAATGAAAAAGAAGGAGACAACATAAAGGATGTCAAGAGGATATTTAGAAAAGTAATAGCTGAAAATTTCCCAAGCATGAGATCAGAAACTGACATCAGGATCAGTGAAGCATATAGAACTCCAAATAGTCATAACCAAAATAAAACTACACCCAGACATATAATAATCACCATCCCAGAAATCCAACACAAGAATAGATTATTAAAAGCTGTCAGAGAGAAAAGACAGATCACTTATAAAGGAAAACCTATCAGAATCACAGCAGACTTCTCAGCACAAACAATAAAGTCAAGAAGAGCACGGAGTGAAGTATTCCAGATCCTAAAGCAAAATGATTTCCAACCTAGACTGATGTATCCTGCAAAACTATCATTCAAAATTGATGGTGAAATACAATACTTCCATGACAAAGAACAGCTGAAGAACTTCATGAACACCAAACCAACCCTGCAAAAAATATTGAAAGACAGTTTAGATACACAAAGGAAAAAACCACTAAGCAAAGCAGATAATTAAACAGAACAGAAAGATAAAGATGCAACAGCAGAGAGATAACATGTCAACAATAAACCAGCATTTAACAGTAATAACCATTAATGTAAATGGTCTCAATGCACCAATCAAAAGAAACAGACTAGCAAAATGGATCAAGAAACAAAATCCAACCATATGCTGTTTACAGGAAACCCATCTAACCCAGAAGGATACTCACAGACTGAAAGTCAAAGGATGGAAAACAATACTTCATTCAGCAGGAATCCAAAAAAAGGCAGGAGTAGCCATTTTGTTTGCAGACAATGTGAACTTTAAACCAACAATGACCATAGAGGACAAAGAAGGTCACTACATACTTGTAAGGGGAAAACTCCAAGAGGAAGAGATAACTATCTTAAATATACATGCACCAAACTCCAGAGCACCCAGTTATATAAAACAACTATTAACAGAAATGAAAACTCAAATTATCAGTAACACAATTGTAACAGGAGACCTCAATACACCTTGACACCAAGGGACAGATCAACCAGACAGAAAATGAGCAAAGAAATAACAGAACTGAATTACACCTGCGAACAAATGGATTTGATAGATATATACAGAATGTTCCACCCAACAACATCAGAATACACATTCTTCTCAGCAGTACATGGATCATTCCCTAAAATAGACCATATATTAGCTCACAGAACATATTTAAACAAATGCAAAAGAGTTGAAATCATCCCTTGCATGTTATCGGATCATAGCGCTCTGAAATTAGAAATTAATGATAAAAGATACTGCAAAAATCCTGCAAACACATGGAAACTGAATAACACACTCTTGAGTAATCAGTGGGTCACAGAAGAAATTAAAGAAGAAATTAAACAATACCTAAAAGAAAATGAAAATGCAGAAACAACTTACCAGAATTTGTGGGATGCAATGAAAGCCGTCCTCAGAGGAAAATTTATTGCACTGAGTTCTCACATCAGGAAAACAGAATGAATACAAATAAATAACTCGATGCTACACCTAAAACAGCTAGAAAAAGAAGAGCAAGTCAAGCCCAAAGCCAAAAGAAGAGAGGAAATTATAAAAATCAGAGCAGAAATCAATGCAATAGAGACTAAGAAAACAATCCAAAGAATCAACAAATCAAAGAGTTGGTTCTTTGAAAGAATAAATAAAATCGCTAAGCCCCTAGCCAACCTTATTTTTAAAAAAGGGAAGAAAAAGCTCAAATTCATGCAATAAGAAATGAAAAAGGTGAAATCACTACAGACCCAATAGAAATACAGAAGATCATCAACACCTATTTCGAAAACCTCTACTCTCAAAGTTTGATAACACAGAAGAAATAGACAGATTCTTAGAAACATATGAAGTACCAAAGTTAGATCAAGAGGATGTAAAACTGTTGAATAACCCAATCTCTGTTAATGAAATTGAAAATGTAATTAAATCCTTACCCACCAAGAAGAGCCCAGGCCCAGATGGATTCACTGCAGAATTGTACAAAAAATACAAAGAAGACCTAATGCCGACACTCTTCGAACTATTCAGTGAAATTGAAAGGGAAGCAACCCTTCCTAAGTCATTCCTGGAAGCAAATATAACTCTAGTACCAAAACCTGAGAAAGACCCAACTAAAAAGAGAACTATAGACCGATCTCCCTAATGAACACAGATGCAAAAATCCTCAATAAAATATTGGCAAATAGGATGCAGCAAATCATCAAGAATATTATACACCATGACCAAGTGGGATTCATCCCAGGAATGCAAGGATGGTTCAACATACGTAAATCAATAAATGTAATCCACCATATCAATAAAGCCAAAAATAAGAATCACATAATCATTTCTATAGATGCAGAAAAAGCCTTCGATAAGGTCCAACATTTATTCATGATAAGAACTTTACAGAAAATTGGAATAGATGGTCTTTACCTCAATATAATAAAGGCCATTTATGACAAACCAATAGCTAGCATCATACTAAATGGCCAAAAATTGAAAGCCTTTACTTTAAAATCAGGCACAAGACAAGGATGTCCTTTATCACCACTCCTATTTAATATAGTACTGGAAGTACTAGCCAGAGCAATTAGGCAAGAGAGAGAAATAAAAGGGGTAAAGATAGGAAAAGAAGAAGTTAAATTATCATTGTTTGCAGATGACATGATACTCTACATAGAAGACCCCCTAAACTCCATGGAAAGACTCTTAGATACAATAAATAAATTCGTAATGTGGCTGGATACAAAATCAATACTCAGAAATCAATAGCATTCCTATACACGAACAACAAAATCACAGAGATGGAAATAAGAGAAACTACACTCTTCACATTAGCAAACAAAAAAATGAAATATTTAGGAATTACTCTTATGAAAGAAGTGAAAGACTTATACAGTGAAAATTATAATACACTGAAAAAAAGAAATTGAAGATGACCTCAGCAATGGAAAGACATCCCTTGCTCATGGATAGGAAGAACAAACACTGTGAAAATGGCCATTCTCCCAAAACTGTTATACAGATTCAATGCAATCCCAATAAAAATACCGTCAACATACCTTATAGATCTAGAGAAATCACTCCTAAATTTCATCTGGAACCAGAAGAGACCTAGAATAGCAAAGGCAATTCTAAGCAGCAAAGACAAAGCAGGAGGCATCACAATCCCTGACTTGAAGTTATACTACAAAGCAACAGTAGTAAAATCAACATGGTATTGGAATCAAAACAGAGCCAAAGATCAATGGAATAGATTAGAAGATACAACCACAACTACAAACACACTCAACCACCTTATCTTTGATAAAGGAGCCAAGCAGGTTCACTGGAAGAACGACAGTCTCTTTAATAAATGGTGCTGGAAAAACTGGCTCTCCATTTGCCGAAAACTAAAGCTAGACCCATGTCTATCACCATGTACTAAATTAAAATCTAAATGGATCAAAGATCTGAATATTAAAAGAGAAACACTAAATCTATTGGAAGACAAATTGGGTAGA